TGAAAAGTTATCTCGATGGTRAAGCTTTCAAATGATCGGGATCAAAAGACCTCATTCTTGACGTACTTGTAGTTCGGTGAGTGAATCAAAATACCAAAGATGTGCGTATTTTTGCTACTTACTGTCTTGTAACTTACATACAAGCTTTAAAGTTTGACTGTATTTCAGATCATCCTTGAGTTCTAACATTTTATAGCCCATAATAGAGGTTGAAGTCAAGCTGGTCATGATTTAAGGGAGGGATATACGAAAAAAAACTACAACTGGTTTCCTAGCATCAAGGAATAAGCTTACTTATTTTTGTTTCCTGCTGCTTTAATCAGTGGAATGTTCTAGTTTGAATAGTAGAAGAAGAACAACAAAAGAAAGTTGTGCACATATCAGATGACTAATAAAAGCAGGTAACTGGAACCCAGAATGTTAATGTTATGATCATTGTTAAAATAAAAAAAACATTAAAGACTCTAAATTTGGGGATGGTCACATCATTTAAACCTGGTTAAGAGGAAGCTGGAATTTCAAAACATATTGTTTGAATTACCTAGTTATTGAAAACTACTCAAGGCGCTAATAAGGAAGACAACTGCATTCATTTTTATTCTGTAAAAATGGTGTAAATCGAGGGATTACAATTTACACGCTTTTTAAATGCTCTGATGTGATTGGTCCATTCGAATATAGTGAAAACCCTCTGAAAAAGAGCAAATAATGACAACAAAAGTGATTCTTTTCTATCAAAATAGTGGAAGAGAGAAAGATATAATTTGCATATTAGAATGCCAATGATACCATTCCAGCTTTTACTACCACTCTACACGATACTTGAGAAAAATATCACTTTTATTTTCACTACTTTTTCTTTTCTATAGACTTTTTAATATTGTATCAAAAACGTCTTATTGTATAATTGCCGTTTTGATGATTGTGGCGTAGATAGCTATTCCTTATTTGTCCTATTTTTTCCGATTTGTCTTGAACAAGGTATGGATTTTCACTTTCTAGTGTCTTAAACAAGGTTCAGGAATTTAGACCACTGGCGGCACGTACCTATCCAAAACGGGGTCGAGTATCACCCCCCCCCCTTTTTGTTCGCAAAAGGTTGCATACCGGGGTTACATCATTACATGTTTTAGCAGGGTTTGAATTCAATTTCACTAAATCTTTTCAGCTTCGGCTGACTTTGAATGCCATTGAACGTTGAGCTCAACATTGTCCCAATAAGGCCTCTCCAGTTACCCCCCGTCTACTTTGTCAGTTTGCTAGTGCTTGTGACCTCGGGGAAGTTCAGGATCGTGTTTTATTCACTCTTTCTCTTTTTGCCTTTTTCCTGTTTGCTCGTTTAGGGAATCTTGTTCCAGATTCAAACTCTGCCTTTGACCCTTTAAGACACCTTCGTAGGGGGGGGGGGGGACGTGTTTTTTTACGGATTATGGTCTCTCTATCACCTTTACACATACCAAAACCATTCAGTTTGCAAAGCGAAGGTTTGTCATACCTCTCTTGTTTATTACGGGATCGCCTCTATGCCCAGTCAGTTCCTTTTCCATCATGTGTAAATTGCTGCCTGCTATGCGGGGTCTAACAGTCCAGCCTTTGTCATCCCAGATTCAGAATGTGACATGTTAGTCCCAGTCACAAAGTCAAAGTTTGTTCGGTTTTTCAAACTTCGGTTGCATCAAGCAGGAAATACGGGAGGGGGGTGCCTCGTGGGCTTATAGTGTGGGAGTGTCCCAGGGGAACTTATACAAATCTTCGGGGTCTTCGCTGCTCACAAAGGGTACTTGGACATGACGTTTCAATCTAAATTTTCATTAGCTTCTCGTATTTCTGCTCCATTACATCATTCCTRACACACTAGATTCAGTATGGGGGGTCTTTGGTGGCTGAGAGCTTTAATGTTTACTTTTATTTTATAGTTCCTTAGCTGGTTTGTCATTAAACCTCTCACTGTGGCCAAAACTGAATCTAGTTGTCTTTATTCTATTTTATTGCACGTGGTCATTTCACACCATGTTCATAGACATGCACATATATATATAAATATATATTATTTCTTGTTAAAGTTCGTCCTATGTTAGAAGAGGCTTGAGAATTATAAGCACAATGAACATCTGTTGTCTACAGATTACAATGAGTGTTCAAAAAATCAAGCAAATTGTCATCAACACGCCACATGTGTGAACAATGAAGGRACCTTTTCCTGTMAATGCAACAGCGGCTATGAAGGCAATGGTGTACAATGTGAAGGTAATGTACGATTCCTGTGTTGTTGTTTCGTAAATTATGCATGATAAATATTTGTGTTTTTAATATTTTGTTCTTATGTGTAATAGCTGGATTCCTCAAGACGTACTGGTGGCTTGTTGTAGTGTTGGCCGTTGTTTTACTTATTATCATAATCGTACTCATAATTCTTGTCGTCAAAAAACACACAMAGCTTAATAGGTGTCCTATCTGGAGGTTCCAGGCCTCTAGAATTCAACCTCTACCTGCTTGAATGAGTGCATAAATGGATTGGTAACGAGCGTACACTTCTTAAAGTGGAATGGACAACATTTTTTRATACATTTTATCAATGCTTTATGAAGTCAAATTAGGTCGTASAAACGACGTGTTCGGCTGGATCTGCCATTCAGGCAATTGTGGTGTTGGTTTCATCTTCATCTTGAACGTACTTGAATATGGCACCACGCGGTCTTGATTGATTTCAGAATTTATATCACGACGCGATAACTCAATGAAATGATGAAGTGCATTACAAAATGCAGCTTTTGTTCAATAGTATATTTTCCGTATTTAATTAAAATTGTTGCTAACTTAATCTAGCAATAGTCAAGATTTGAAATATTTATTTGTATTACTAAATACACTCGCGAGATTTGGCACGGAAAGGCACAACACGCATGAGCGGCTACACTAAACTGTTACAGTATGCCCATAAAAGGAATTATAAGTATAAAATATTTATCCATCTAAGCAATACATAACATTATTTCATATAAATACATGCTCAAAATGAAAAACTTTGGAATCTTCAGCGCCATTGATGTTATTTCAAGCCAATATGGCCGACAGYATAAGCTAATACTGAGTCSAAAGTATGCCTAGAGCTCAATGTTTTCATTAAAGTTTTGACCTCTAATATGTCCCTTGTCTTATGTAGGTGGGAGAATGTTCTCTAGGGGGTCGTAGTAGAATCTAGCATTCTTTTGTCAGGACAGAAACTGTTTTCTATAGTACATCAGGCATCGTGGGAATAAACGAAAAGTCCCATGGCTTTCGCACCGGAGTTCGGTAACACGACTGATACGCATGATATACATGTTCGCCTAATATTTCATAATAWTTTCCTTTCTCTAATTCTAGTTGTCTTGTCTTGAACTTCTTGTGTTTCTTCAYCTTTTTAGCTGGCTAGCTTCATCTCCTACATTTGTTGTAAATTGTTCGAGATCATGGATCATATTTTATTTTACACATCTAGTTTCGTTCCATAACAGCCAGATGCATTTTTAATATTCCACTCGGAATTGATCATACTGGTATCAATGCAAGGTATACTATAGTATAAAAGCAATGAAAACGGAATAAAAATCGATCATTCAAAAAAAAAAACGATTGACTTTGTTGACTTTGTTTACAGYRACTTTCACCAAGTGTTACCGTCTAATGCTCACGTCGATTGACGTCATAAAACTTCCGAGGGGTTTCCGAATTCCGTAACGAAAYAWTTTTTTAACAWTAGAATTGCTTAATCTTCGAATCACGCAATAGAAGACATGAATAACATGACGATTGAAGAAAAAGAAACAGGTAATTGTTTTTAATTTTTGCATTGAAAATATTACTTATGTACAGTCAATACCATAAACGTTGTTCAGTTGCAAAGATGTAAAGACATTTGCGGCATATATCACATCTTTAATTTCTTTGCAAAACTATGCAGCATAAAGTTTCAAAAGCTCTTTATAATTAAATAACGCTATATTTCCTAGTTATCTAAAGTTCAGAATCAGCGATTCTTCCTGGAAATTTTAAAAACTTTTTTATGTCAATGACTTTGTTGTTGTCTTTATGTCTTTTTTACAAGTGAACAATGTTAAACAACTTTGAACTGCACCAATGTACAGCCGGTGACACTTTCAAGAATTTCATTGCGTTCTTCAAAACAAAAGCACAGAGAAAAGTTGGCGATAACTCGAGCTCAAATTAATCATTGAAAGTGTTTGGCAATAGCTATAAACTATGTTTTCCAGCCACATTTTATATCAGTGATGTCGTCGGGCCTGGTGATTTTTGATTGATGTTGACTTCACGGATTTCATCGTCATTGCTCGTCACTGGTCTTTTCCAGGTCTTCGTAAAAACACCGACATGCATTTCTCTTTTAGTAGAATAGCAAAATTGCACAAATAAAATTAATCGAATCTATGTGCTCTCTGTTTTTCCACCGACCACGTTTGTTTACTTTTTGTAGTAGTCTGGTCGGGAATTTTCTGTCGACAGTCGGAAAGTTTGATTGACGTCCGTGGAAACCCCAACTCGACGTCAGGGTTTGAAATTTGATCGTTGGAGTTCGCATGAATTCATGAAAATTGCTGTAATTAACTGAGACAGTATTTTTTGTTTGAAATTGAAAGAAACTGACATTTGAATGATTACGTAAAATTATGTCAGTCAAGCTATGGRATTAAACTCAACTAACCGATTCGGCTTCAAACCCTAACCTTGGCTATGTGTATTAATACGTACGGGTTTTTTTATTGAAAAGGAAAAAAATGACAATAATTCTAAATATGGAAGCATGTACAGATGTTTGGTATCTTCGACTAAAGATTATTCAAAACTTAGGAAATATTTTGTTATTATATTGTTTTAAGGGATTTTGTTCGATTTGAAAYCGCGCTGTTTTCTCAGCTTGGTGCAAAAGCTTGATCCAATTGAAAGTGAAAGCACCTGACTGTACGTCATTAGATTGGATGACATGCATACAAACAATCACTCTTCCATATCGTCGAATTTTCAAGTTTAGAAAAAAATGTCATTTTTGCAATCTTTTTTGCCAATAAAAAATGTTTCTTTTATCCAAACGAACACTTTTATGTTCCAGGATTTTGAGCTTAATTTGCTGGAACTTCGCCCAAGGGTTATATTTTTAGCGATGCCTCAATATCTCTCATCTAATTGTGTATACAATGTCTTTTGGTACAGTGAAAATATCATGCTGCGCTAAAAAACTGCTTGCATTCTTTATCCAGCTCCATGACATACCCACAAAGACATTACTCCGTCAACAAGCTGTTCATAAATTGGRTGAYACTAAATCTACATTAATTCCTCGAAAAACTAATAACTTGGCGATCCAAAGGAGAAAGTTGATGTCGAGTTAAGGTAAGGAGTGGTTTATTCTCAGGAAAAAGAAACGAAAACATTGATTTTAAACGACTGAAATGGTGCAATGCCCAAAGTTTGCGAACTATACAGAAGCCAATTCATTGTTTATATTCGTTTATAAAATACAAATTATATCAAGAAAGATTGAATTTCWTCCAAATACTTAAAAACTGTAAAAAAAAGCCACTGAAATATAGCGAAAAACCGAAATATTACAGTTTGCTTTCGCACTCCACGATCAAGAACGCTAACTATTTCGCGTGAACGAATCGAGTCTTGCTTTGTGAACTTTATGTTATTCCGACAAATTGTTTTTTTAAATTTATTTATCACTTAGAAATTTTGAGGTTTTCTTTAGAAATTATCATATACTCCACGAAGATATTAGTATTTTTATATAAATGCTTCTTACCTCACACATTCTAGTTTATCATATAAAAAACACTAATGTTTCTCTCTTTGGAAAAGTTATTATTTTCACTAGTGAAAATTTTCTATATATATTGGAAGTAAAAAAAGGTATTTTACGACATAATTTGCTTTCATATGTAATTATATGATAAACAGAGAATATTACATGGTGGTTTGGAGATACGAATTTTATCTTGTCGTGTTGAAAATCGTTCGCTACGCTCACTCGTGAGAAATCTTATAAAATACCCGCGCCCATGTAATATATCATATATTTCTTACTTATACGACTTCTTGAGGAAAAAAGGTCTCTTTTTCAGTATGTTCCAAAAACTTTGAAAAATATCTTTTTGATGCATACTGCCAAAAATTATTTTGTATTTTTTTTAACAAAGCTAACGTGCCAACAATGTTTTATATGCATTGAATATTCCAAACGACACAAATAATATAGTATATATATACGAGTTAACTYACGCGACACCTTACAGTTATATCAGGAATATTTCTCTCACAAACATCATATATTTCTGTATTTCGGGCATTCACTAGGAAATGTTAGTAAGAAAAAAACYCTGTTATTGCAACCGCATCGAYWYAACAGATGCTATTTTTCAGCTGTGACGCGTTGCTACCAACTGATGCGTTGCCATCRACTACATGCKTTCTCATATATCAATTCAAATTCATTCTTATTATTAATTACTTTCCTTAACTAATGTTGAAGTCATCGTATTTTGGAGGGTCATGTTAGTGCATGTTTGATGATGATTGTACCTAAGCTTTGAACTGAGACTGATACTCATACCCCGTGACCGCTTGCGCATGCTAATATAAAATCGTTAACCAAGCAATACAATATTAAAGCGTAGGCAAGTACCTCTTTTTGTTTTCCTATTTGCAACAATAGTCTGATTGAAGTGGAAGATGCGCCTCGGGAACATGTTGATAGAGCCAGTGATAAACTATATAGTTATTTGATAATACAGTCAACTCTCGCCTTAAGGACAAACCGCTATAACGGACACCTCGATATTATCGACACAAAATACTGAGTCACCGCCAAAAAATACAAAGAAATGACTGAAAGTGACTCCCGTTATTAGCGAGAGTTGACTGTAGTGGGGATGGCTTGAGAAATCTTCCCCCTTAAACCACAGTTAGTAGATGCTTAAACTAATAGAAAATAGTGCTTTAGTTTTCAAAGAAAAAAAATACAGACCTGAAATAACTGAGACAAGTGTACTACAACACTTACTTGCTATAGCATGAAAAATATCCTGCACATCTAAAGTTACTGAAGATCCCACTGTAGATTAAGATATTTCCTACTAAACCCATAATTATAATGTCTTCGATTTTTCTGTGCCAGGTTCATCGATTTTAAGTCTTAGTACCTATAACAATTGATATTTATTCATGCAGGACCAAAGAAAGTGATTTATATGCTTAAAATGATGATTCGAATCTTGATCGTTTATTTGGTTTTTGGAGCCACTGCAGTTGCTCTGGACGAAAATCAGATTCGTCTTCCAATTCTTCACATGAAATTTTTCGATTGGGTGGCTCCTCATGGTGTTTTTGATAAGCTTACTGGACAAAAGCTTCAGCTGGCTAAAAAGGGTGTTCCAATGCATTTAGCTGACAAGGAGCCCCAAACATACAGCATCGAATCATTGTATAACGCAAAAGTATCTGTAAGTTGGTTTGCCTTCTACAATAAGTACATTAACACTAACCAAGACCCCTCAGCTTTCAGAGACATTGACTATAACTGGTCATTTCTTATGACAAAAAGTTACTTAAACTCAACACTGTTAAGCGCAGAAACGGATAATTATTTGTTTGGTGAACTTCAAGAAATTATGTTAAAAATAATCACAGAAAAGATGGTGATTCAGTTATCTAAAGTGGCACAAAGACTAGGAGTACCAGAGAGAAACCTAAGCTATTCGTACGACCCGTCAAAGTGGGAGGAAATTGTTCATGCTATGGTTGAAGAGGGGACATTGAATTATCTAACATATCTGAATGTTGTTAATGAAAACAAGCTTGCCTCGCTTTTCGGTCTAACGACGAGCCAACTGAAGAATTCTACGCTTGAAGCTTTTATTGCCTATCTTCCTCCTATTAAACTTAAAAAGGAACTTATAGACAAAAATAAAACAAAGGACTTTTTGAATTTCCTAAAGATATCTGCAGTGTCGAGTGATGCCGTAATCTATAACTTGATTAACCAAACTACGAATC